CTGTGGCAGGCATCCCACAGATAGAAAAAGTAGAGGAAGATGGGCACGGATGTTAGCTCAGGGCTAGTCTTCCTCAGCAAAAAGAGGAGGATTGGCAGATGTTAGCTCAGGGCTGATCTTCCTCAAAAAGAAAAAAAAATGTTTTTGCATGTCAGAAAGTCCATAAACAAAGTCAAAAGACAACTGACAAACTGAGAAAAAATATACCACAATATATATCACAATATACACCACAAAGACTAACATCCTTTTTTAAATTGAGATATAATTGACATACAACATTGTGTCTGTTTAAGGCGCACAACATGTGGACTTGGTACATTTATATATTGCAACATGATTACCACTGTGGCATTAGCTAACACCTCTATCACATCACAGAATCATTTATTTTCTGTGGTGAGAACGTTAAAGATCTAGTCTCTTAGCAATTTGAAGTACGTAATACAATACTGTTGATTATAATGACTACGTTGTGCATTAGCACTCCAGAACTTATTCATCTTCTAACTGCGACTTTGTGCCCTTTGACCAACATCTCCATTTCCTCACCCCCAGCCTTTGGTAACCACCACTCTACCCCCTATTTCTACAAGTTTGGCTTTTTTCATCCCACATATAAGCGATATCATACAGTATTTGTCTTTCCCTGTTGACTTACCTCTCTTAGTATAATGCCCTGAAGGTCCTTAATATAAAAACTTTTTTTAATTGAGGGACAAAACAAGCAATAGAAAAATGCAAAAAAAATGAATAGACAATTTATATATATATATTATATATCCCTCAAACATAAAAAACATTCAAACTCACTCATAGACAAATGCAAATTTTAAAAACACTGAGATACCACTTCTCACCTATCAGACAACAAAATTTTAAAAATACAGCAACATATTCCTTTCGTGAGGCTATGGGAAAGCAGGCACTCTTTTTTTCTTTTGTATTACATTAATTTAATTTTATTTTATTTTATTCAACTGGTTTTTTAAAATTGTGGAATTGTGGTAACATTGATTTATATAGTACATAAATTTCAGATGTACATGATTATATATTTTGATTTCTGTGTAGGTTACATCATGTTCACCACCCAAAGATTAATTACCATCCATAACCACACACATGTGCCTAATCATCCCTTTCGCCCTCCTCCCTCCCCTCTTCCCCTCTGGTAACCACCAGTCCAATCTCTGTTTCTATGTGTTTGTTTGTCGTTGTTCTTATCTTCTTATGAATGAGATCATATGGTATTTGACTTTTTCCCTGACTTATTTCACTTAGCATGATACCCGCAAGGTCCATCCATGTTGTCACAAATGGCCAGATTTCCTCGTTTTTTATGGCTGAGCAGTATTACATTGTGTATATATACCACATCTTCTTTATCCATTCGTCCCTTGATGGGCACCTAGGTTGCTTCCAAGTCTTGGCTATTGTGAATAATGTCACAATGAACACAGGGGTGCACTTATCTTTATGCATTTGTATTTTCATGTTCTCTGGATAAATACCCAGCAGTGGAATAGCTGGATCATGTGGTAGATCTATTCTTAATTTTTTGAGGAATTTCCATACTGCTTTCCATAGTGGCTGCACCAGTTTGCACTCCTACTAGCAGTGTATGAGAGTTCCTTTCACTCCACATCCTCTCCAACACTAATTGTTTCCTGTCTTGTTAACTAGAGCCAGTCTGACGGGAGTGAGGTGATATCTCATTGTAGTTTTGATTTGCATTTCGCTGATAGTTAATGATGTTGAACATCTTTTCGTGTGCCTGTTGTCCATCTGCATATCTTCTTTGGAGAAATGTCTGTTCAGATCTTTTGCTCATTTTTTAATTGAGCTGTTAGTTTTTTTGTTGTTGAACTGTATGAATCCTCTGTAGAGTTTGGATATTGACCCCTTATCAGATGTATGGTTTGCAAATATCTTCTCCCAATTGTTAGGTTGTCTTTTTGTCTTATTCATGGTTTCCTTTGGTGTGCAGAAGCTTTTTAGTTTGATGTAGTCCCATTTGTCTATTTTTTCTCTTGTTTCCCTTGACCAGTCAGACATGGTACTTGAAAATATGCTGCTAAGATCGATGTCAAAGAGTGTACTGCCTATGTTTTCTTCTAGAAGTTTAATCTTTCCAGGTTTTGCATTCATGTCTTTAATCCATTTTGAGTTAATTTTTGTGTATGGTGTAAGATAATGGTCCACTTTCATTCTTTTGCATGTGGCTGTCCAGTTTTCCCAACGCCGTTTGTTGAAGAGACTTTCCTTTCTCCATTGTATCTTCTTGGCTCCCTTTTCAAAGATTAGCTGTCCATAGATGTGCGGGTTTATTTATCAGGCACTCTTATACATTGCCAATGGGAATGCAAATTAGAATAATCCTTCCGGAGGGAAATTTAACAATATTTAACAAAACTACTTATGCACTTAACTTTTGACTCAGTAATTCCAATACTATGAATCTATGCTAAAATTATACCTCCAACAATACAAAAATACATATACACAAGCTTATTCATTGGTGCATTGTTTGTAATTGCAAAATATTCAGAACAATCTAAATACTCATACGTAGGAGAGTGGTAGAATAAACCATAGTATATCCACACAATGGAGCGCTACACAGCTGTGTAAAAGAGAAGAAAATGACTGCAATCTCTATGAACTAATTTAGAGCGAAAATATCAAAGTGCAAAAGAGTATCTATAATATGCTATACTTCTTCTAAGAAAGAGGATGTAAGAAAATACACACCTATCTGCTCCTTTGTGCAAAAGAAATATAGGAAGGATAAATCATAAACTAAAGATCTATCTCCTACGGGGAATGGTCAGCAAAAGGGGAAAGAAAGCTGGAAGGGGAGTGGATCAGTAGGAATGAGGAGGAAGTTATGCTTCTCTGATTGTACTTTTCTGTATAGTTTGACTCTTGGAAACATAATAATGTTTCACATTCCTTCCCAATCAATAACTGAAATAAACCAAGATGTGAGAGCAACCCAAAATGGAATACAAACAATAATAAATGAACCTAAGTGTATTACAAATGAATAACATAACCACACTGAAGAAAATTTGGAAGAAAAGTCCTAATCTGAGTATCCTTGGGAAAGAGTATTTTAACTGGATACTGTAAAGCTAAAGACAAAAATCACTGCACAAAAATACCGTACTCTAATTAGTAAGTCTGATTCTCACAGGCATATGGGCTAGAAATTCTGAAATTATTTTTTATGAAATCTAGGGTTGAACAAATAAGTAAATATATTTTAGATAAAGAGAGCCAGGTTTCTCACTCTCAGAGTTCCAAATGAGGAAAGTGTTAGAATGAACCTTCTGGTGTTGTATTGGAATTGGAGGTATCAGAAGGAACTCATGGTTTTTAATACAGATTAGATAGATAGATAATTACATAGGTACATAGATACATAGATAGATACAGAAATAAATACAGATATGTGTATATACATGGGTTAGAATACACAGATATATTTCCTAGCTGTCTACTGAGAGAACCTAGAAGCAGTGATATCCCAGTAGCAATGAGCACAATTAGTGTCCAGCTCTTGGTTTCTAAAACATCATTCTCCAATAGAAGGAACCAGGGCTGCGTGGAGAAGCAGTTGATTTTAGGACAGGGGCAAGATAAATACAAGATGAGCCTGGAACATTTTGTGGTGCCAGAAAATAAGGAAACACTCAAAAAAAGATAGGAGTATGCCACAAAGACACGGGAGCCAACCTGAAGAAGGTCCCAATGGCCAAAGATGGAACCATCTGAGAAATGAAACGAATAAGGATAGTATCAGATGGTAACCCACAGAATAAAATAAATATCCAGGAGTCTATGTTGATAAAAATAAATAAGGAAATACATGAGTGAGTGAGAAAGGACAGCTCTCTCTTACTGAAGAATTCCAATTTAAAAATTTAGAAAGAATGAGAGAAATGCAAAATCACTATGGGGCAAGCACCACAGTGCTAATTGTTGTGGGCAAGATCCACCAGTGGATGCTAAAATCAGTGAATGAAAGTTTGAGGAGAAATAGGATATTAGCATAGTCTAAAAACATCCCTTTCAAGGTATTTATCAATCCCAAAGGGAAAAATAGTAACTTTGCAGTAAAGAAACTTCACGGACACCACCCTAACCAAGTAATCAAGGTTAACAGTAACAAAACATACTGGCATCATGTCCCCCAATATGATGCACTGAGAAGGACACAACATAACTTCTATCCTATTCTTGTTAAAAATGCATAACCTTAAACTAATCATAAGAAAACACCAGAAAAACTCAAATTAAGGGTTCTACAAAATAACCCGTATGCTTCAAAATTTTCACGGTCACAAAAGACAAGGAAAGATTGAGGAACTGTCACAGATTGGAGCAGACAAAGGAGACACAACGATATGCAACATGGGACCCTGGAACAAGAAAAAGTACATTTAAGGGGAAAACTGGTAAAATTCAAGTGAGCTCTGTAGCTTAGTTAATCATATTATAGCAATGTTAGTTGCCTAATCAGGATAATTGTACTGTGCTTATATAAGATATTAACATATACCTGAACTTTTGTGTATTTTTGCAACTATCCTATAAGTCTAAAACTATTTCAAAATGAAAAGTTAAACATAACCTCGTGTGTATAGGCGGTGGAGGGAGAGAGAGAAAAAAAAGTATCACAAGGATCACCAGAGATGTATGGCAGTAGTCAAATATGACATGAGCCTCACTAAAAACCAACATGCTAATTAGCGTAAAGGTGACTGCCTACCTTCTGGAGATACAAGAAAGGCAAACGTAGGGGCATCAAGGCTCCTTAAGTTACAGAAATACCACTGTATTTCTGATATTTGATCCACTGAAAGATAAACCTAAATAAGATTAGTCTAGTCAAACACGACAAGCCTGCACAGGTTTCGTGAACGCACACATGGGCAGGCATTACCTCAAGACCAGAACCAGGTGACAACTCAGAAAGACAGGTGAAAACTCACCTTTACTGAGAAAGAAATGACCATTCTCCCAGAGCCTGAAGGTCCCCAGAATTCTGGCAAGTCCTTTGTCTCTGATGTGTGAGGTTTTGCCCACCCGTGGAGGCAGGTACTGAGCAGCAACAAAGGGTCTAATGGCTGAGTTCTAGCGCTACTATCTATTCACTGTGTTGGTTACATTCTTACTGACTTGCTTTTGTTGATCTTGGAGTAATGCCCTCATGCTTAAAAGCCACTTCAAAAGATGGATTATTCAAATATCTTTGTTCTGCCTTTTATTTTTTCATCTGGAGAATTTTCCTTTTATTATCTTATTGCTGCACTGGCTATCACACTTAATCCAGATGGAAAATATTTGCTTTGCCCCTAATGCAATACCCTGCAAATATTTTTAGCCTCTGAACATTTTTACCAAGAGCAGCCATTTTAGTAGCAGAGTTTGGCAACATCACTTTTGCTGATCAATTGCCTCCATGTTAGACAGATGAGTATCAACAGCTTTAAATTAGGGGAAGTGACAAAATAGAAAATAATTCAAGACTATTAGAGAAATGATCATTATTCTTATCTCAGGTAGAAAAGGAAAAAATAATACTGATAGTGAACAGTGGGTACAATCTTTTGGATTAAAAGACTCGAAATGGCTCTGTGAGTAGTGATTGTGACAGTAGGGAGGGGGAAGGGGGTTTCTTCTGTGGAAGAACAGTTCTGATGTGGAATGATCATGAAATGCTATTATTAAAAGTTAACTGATGCTATACCTGCTAAGTGACATCCTGCTTTAGGCTGGGTTCCCTAGAGTCTGAGGAAAGCTTATATATCAATGCATTATTCAGAAGGATGCAATCCCAGGGAAGCAGGAGTGAGGGAGAAAGATGTGAGGCAAGGAAGGTGGGAGAGTATATACAGGTGGTGTGTTATAAGCTGGCCACAGTTCCTCAAGAAAATCCAGCTCGTTCTCAGTTATGTGGGAAGTTTTCAGAGAAGCCACACAGAGAAGCTCCTGTGTCCTCTCTCATTCATCTAAGCCCACCCTACAGAGCTTTATTTTCCTCCACACTCAGAGCAGCTGCTGAGGAGGCCAGGGTCTTTCTTGGTCCATCCGTGTCAGCTGGGTACTGAGCTGCTGTAATTCCCAGCATGATAATCACGGTTGAAGCTGTGTCAACAGCCTGGCCCTTGACCAACAGCCTCCATTTGCTTCTGGATTAATCATCACAAAGTTCAGACCATGGATCTAGGTTTCTGACATCCACCTGCCCTGGGTCTTTGGGGGTCCTGGATTTATGAGGTTCATAGGGGCAAAGCTTCCAGAAATATCAACCATAGCTTCAGCTCAGAATCTGCTGAAGGCAACTCTCCAGCTGAAACAAATATGATTATGAAGGAGACACCTTCCCTAGGAGGCAGGTTTCTTAGGCCTCAGCAATTCCCAGCAAGAGGTAGTAGCCACAGCCATTGTGACACATGATTAAAAATGCCCACTCATAAGAGAGCGTAGGAGCTTGTCACCAGAGAGACACCACCTACATATAGAATAGGGTGCTAGACATACAGGGCCAGGGGGAAATGGAAATTAAGAGGTTCCAAATATATTTTTTGGGAAAAAAGAGCAATTCAAATAAGATCTGGAGTCTGTGACTGGCATCATTTCAAACTCCCACACTTTGCAAGAAGGCATCAATGTCCGGAAGGGCAATCTCAGAGTATGACTCAGGGCTTTCCCACTAAAGTTATGATAAATACCTAGTGTCAACATTCACCTATGGGTGGGGGATTTTCCCAGAGGAGTTTAGATCCACAGGTCACAGGCACTGAGCAACTCGTACAGATGGCCTAGTGTTTTGGAGAAGCTGAAACCCAGAAGGATGTCTTTGCCTCCTTCTTCCTTCAGATACCACTGAGTCTCTATTATGTTTTGGCAATGGTAACCTGAGACTAGATGGCACCAGCATTAGGTTCTGGGATTTCATTTTGTCTGGGAAAACTGCTCTAGCACTATAAATTTCTAAATGTTATTGATGTTAGTCAAAGTTGTGATAATCTTGAGTTTCCTGTTGACAATTTAGACCCTTTTAAATAGAGACATCACAGAGGCTAATTTAAATTCTAGGTTCCGGAAGAATGACAGCCATCCTTAGAAAAAGCATCCCAGGCCATGGTGCTGAAGGCTTTGATAACTCTACCCAGACATTGAGAACCTTTCAGGCTGACAGTGGCAGAATAAGAAATTGACAAGGCCCTTAATCTCTGGATTTTAACTTGAAGTTTTAATTTTTTGGACTCTTTAAAAGTGGGACACATAGAAGACACGAATTTCTCCCTGAGCAATTCACAGTGGGAGGAAATTTACATTTGAATATGGGATTTCCCCATGTATTTTTTTTTTTTTGCATTTTGTTTTTGCTATTTTTATGATGTCATTTAACACCGTTGCAGTCACTCTAATAGGCTGGGTAGGACAATGTGGCTGGACCTAAGTTGGGATGGAAAGTAGAATAGGGAGTAGATTGTCAGCCATGAAGTAACCTTGGAATGGATCTAATTAATGTATAATTCTAACTCATTTCAGAACCTTCCTCTGGCAAAATCTGCCTTGCCCATCAGTAGTCAAGGGGTATTTTCACAAAAGCAGAAGTTCATATTGTGGAAGCAGTTTGGCAGGAGGAGTATAACTTCCAGCAGGGGACCAGACACACCACCGGTTGATCAGAGGCTTCCTAGTTCATCCAGGGGCACAAGAGCAGAAAATGTGGGGAATGTTATCATTATTGGCAAACTCACTGTTGTTGCTCATCTACACTGTGTTCTCCAACATCAATACAGCTAACGTTTTAATCTCCGCCAGCCGCTCTTCTGTCTATATGCATTGGCATAGGGCTCAAGCATGGGAAAGAGAGTGTTACGTATTAACCTTTTCAATTCGGTACAGCTATGATTATATTACATTGTGTTACTTGATATTACATATAGGAGAGAGAGAGAGAGGAGAGATACAGAGGAAGGGAGAATGTGTCTATTGGATTCACAATTTTTGGACTTAATCAGTAGTAGAAAATTCTCACATTCTCATCCTTGGAAGAAAGTTTTGATTTAGGAAATAAAGTTAATCAAAGCTAAGTCCAATGGACATGATGAATGACTCTGGTGTGGGTAACAGGATTGCTTCTTCTTAGGATGGTGAAAAACGGTGTGAGAGAATGAGAGGAAACCGGAGAAAGAGATGGGATTAAAAGGAAATGGATGGCTCTTGTGAATATTTCATATATTAATCCTGCCAGCAATTCCAACAGCAAAATTCTAAAAAGCTTTGAGTCAATGACAGCGTCTTTGGAATAAGTCTTTATTTGTTCTTTCAAGGTAATTATTTTGCAACATAACGCTCATTTAGATATTCAAATTCTCTCTGGTATTTGTAAGGTCACAATATAATGTATTACTCCCAAAAGGGGCACTTTTGAGAGCGAATAAGGTGCTATTAATAATTCTGCTGAACAAAGGCACAAATCAGGACTGTCCCAGGCAAACTGGGACAAATGGCACCCTAGATATGTGTAAAAACCACCATTGTCTTTCCTTATAGTCACTCTTTTAGATACCATCAGATATCTCTTTTTAAAGAATTTCCATTGTGAGGTCCTGTAGAAGGATAAACATTTACTGAAATGTCTTATTAACATGGTGTCATATTTAGATAGTGAGGAGGAACTTCATTCCTCTTATACCGGTGAAGGGGACCAGAATATGCCATCCCAAAATATGCCACTATGGCATAAGAATTATTTTGAGCTAAAGGCAATTGAGAACCAGCAGACCCAGGAAAAGCTCTTCACCTCCCCCTAACTGTCTAAAAATAGAAATTGCCCCCTTGTAAAGGACATTTACGTTTATATAGAAAATTTTCTTATTTCCATTTGTAAAAATGTCTATACCAGGCAGAGAGCTACCCCCGGAGACAACTCCTATCACCTACCTGAGAGACTCTTATCTGCATACAAGACAACCCTTATTCACCTTACCTTTCTTCCCCTCACTTTCCTATAACTCACCTTCCCTGACCAAGAGCCCAAAGATCCTTTTCCTTTGCTTAGGCTAAGATGGTATATAAGCCTCAATCATCTGGCCGCCTCCTTGAGCCACACTTTTCTTTGTAACTCCCATGTACGTGATTAAAACTGCTTTTTCTCTTGTTAATCTGCCTTTTATCAGTTTGATGTGCAGGTCTCAGATACTGAACCTAGGAGAATAGAGTCAAGAAGTTTTTTCGTCCCTTACACCAGCTGTGTAGTGAACAGAAAATGCCAGAACAAGTGTAAGAGAAGCAAAATTTAGTCAGCTAAGTAGAATTTACTTACTAGATGACTGTGCCATTCCAAATGGCCAGTAGGGATGACATTTCTTCCCTAGGTAGTCTGAATTCTCCACTTTTATTGGGTCTAGGTAAATTGTCTCAGCGTTTGTCCTCCAACATTGATTGGATGAAGTTGTGGTGGACACTGATGTACTGCCCAGATCCTCCTTCAGAAATGAAGAAATTATTCCACAGCTACTAGGAGTGTTGCCCACTGATAGCTCTCAGTTCTTAGCCCCTGTCAGGGATTGCCTTGGCTGAAAAAAACCTCCCTCTCCCAAGGTCTACCTGGGGAAGCCCAGGTCTAATGCCTGAACAATGCAGGGGGTATAAAGGCCTGACTCTCTTGCCTCAAGTTGGGACAGCTCTGAAGAGCCATCCCAGTTCCAGAGCTCCCGGGGACATCAGCTGAGGGCTTCATTGGGACTGGCAGCTCAGCTTCTCCCTTGACTCAGTCATGTTTCCTTCCCTTCTTTTCTACAGGTATTGATCCCAAGAGAATTTCCCAGTAAATACCCTATATGCTGATCTCCATCTTTGAGTCTGATTCCTTGTGACCCTAAACTGTGACAGTCATCTTTAGTCTAACATCTGACCCATTCTGGTCTCAACTCTTCAGTAAAAGATTCAGATTTATTCTTGGCTCATAGGTTCTACTTTCTATGAATACCCAGATGGAGAGACTAAAGGCTCTGCTCTTAAAGCTGCCAGGCTTCTTTAAGGACAGATGTCTAAGGAAGAATAATAGAGATATTTGTATACCTTCAACAATCAAACCAAACCCAGTACGCATACTACAGCAAGCAATCTTTGTAGCTTGCAAGCCACTTGATTCATCAGAAATGTGGGGTCCTACTG